CCCAAAAAGTGCCCCAAACGTGCTCCCTCGAGGATGGAGAGGAGGGGTGTCGCGGGAGGTCGCCGGAGAGGAGGAGATCGCCGGGGAGTCGCCGGTGGGGAGGGAGGAGGGAGGCAACCCGTGGGGAAAAGAAGTGGAAAGGAGAGAGAAGGAAGTCCACGGGGTGATATATGAAGACCCCGAAATTTTTCGGATATTTCCGAAAATTTTCGGACATATCCAAAAATCATCAGAACCGTGCGCCACTCTTCTGTATCCTTTCGGACATATTCGAAAATTTCCAGAAGCGAAAATCTGGTTCTATGTGTTTTCGGAAAGTCCGAAAATGAGTTTCGGAAAACTCCGAAAAAATCCAGAACACACCAAACTGAGGAGAAACACTTTTTTAAAAAAGGTTTTGAGCACTTTGATCACTCCTCGTAAGTCAATGCATCATCCCTCTTAATAGTGCGGCTTTCCTAATAACTCAAGAAAACGAAAACGTACACCATACCATTTGCTCATTTGCCGCATCACATCACATCAACGTATTCGGCGGGATATGCATTACGCTAACTCATTGAGGACATAACAACCTTCACATTTGCTTACATAAAAATGTTAGTCCTCTCTAATCGCATTATAATTAATCACCAAAATCATTAGGGGCCTAGATGCACTTTCAACCCTTCCATGCCCTTATTTTACCATATAACCTCGTTGATAATTATTGTATATTGATCTCCTCCCTATATCCCAAAATATCACAACCTAGATTTGAAGACATGTTATAGTACAATGAATCTACGCAAGTCTTTCTTCGAATTCGTTATAATAGGATGTGTCTTATTCAGTTTTAGGTTAGTATATTTTGAAACGAAATTAAATGAGTATATATTTTTCGTGAATAGCATGTCTCAACTTCCTTTGAGTAAAGACTGAGGATGATCGCGATGGCATGCATTTTGTAAAATTCTTCTCTTCGCGGAGATGGCACGATCAGCCATATACTTTTTCAGAACTAAAAAGTCTGGTGAAATTCAATTTAACTAGCAACCTGTATATGCTACCGGGAAAGCAGAAAAGGTTATCTCTCATACTGAAAGGCGCGTTTGGAATTAATTGAGACTATGCAGTCTAACTTAATCCATTTTAACTCTTGGTCGTTCGCTGTGTCAAAGCACAGACGACGCACGAGAGAAATGCACCTGCTTGCTCATCAGTCCAAGTCGATCATGTGTACTGTATCCTCGATCAGCACGGCATCTAACAAATTTTTCTAGTACTAATTAATTCATCCTTTCCTATCTTTGTCACCTAACATGGTCATCCTTTTAAGTTAGGATGCGACATATGACGTATCCCGTCATGCTTGTTAACTCTGCCAAGTGTCATGTATCTTTGTTGGTCACATGGAAGACACATGCATGTTTTGGACATGTAATGGAGTCTACAAACACTAGGGCTGTGTTTAGATCTAAGAGTGAAAATTTTTACCGTGTCACATTGAATATACAGACATACATTTGAAGTATTAAATATTATCTAATAATAAAACAAATTACAGATTCTGCTTGTAAACTGCGAGACGAATTTATTAAGCCTAATTAATTCGTCATTAGCAAATGCTTATTGTAGCACCACATTGTCAAGTCATGGAGCAATTAGGCTTAAAAGATTTGTCTCGAATTTACACGCAATCTATATAATTAGTTTTTTTTATTTAATACTTTATGCATGTGTCAAACATTCGATGTGATAGGGTGAAAAAGCTTGCCAAGTGATTTAAACAGGCCCTAAGTTGTACTCCTTTCTTCCTTTTTTTTACTTATTCTTTAGTGCATCCAATCCAACAATGCCACATATTTCATATTATTTGTTTTAATTATGTTTTTTAAATTATCAAGGTGTAGCTTACTAAGCATAAATTATTTATTAATCTACAAGATTGGCTAGCTATAATACACTATCGCGGATCTATCGATGTGCCTCCACCTTTAAGTTAGGTGGTGAAGTGAGCATAGGTAAGGGTGTGTTTGGATGGAGTGATTTGGGTGGATAGGACATGGCGGCCCATTTTTTGTGGATGTTTGGTTGGTGGGCGGGGGATGGGATAGAGTGGCCCGAAGAGGAATATTCCTCTTAGATGCTGGATCGGGGGGATCCGGCCGATTTGGCCGGATGCAACCGCCCGGGCGCCCGGGCGAGCGGGGCGAGCGACCAACATGGGTCGCGTCACCCCTCACCACGAGACCTCGACGACGACGCAAGTGAGGCAGCGCCCGGTACACGGCGGCGGCGGCAGCGGGAAGTGCACGACAGCGGCAGCGGCCGGTGCACCATGGCGATGACCGGTGGGGATGGAGACGATGACGATGGCTGGATCTGGGAGAAACGGGGCAGCGGCCGGTGGGAAAGGAGATGGCGCGGCGGCCGGTGGGGAAGAAGACGGGGTGGCGGCTGGTGGGGAAGGAGACGAGGCGGGGCGGCGAGAGGTGGGGAAGGAGACGAGCGTTGCGGCGGTTGGCGAGCGACGAGGCGGAGCGGCGAGAGAAGCAACCGGATCTGGAGAAGGTGAGGCGGCGGCCAGTGAGAGGAGCGGGGCGGCGGCCGGCAAGAGGAGCGAGGCGGCGGTCGAGGCGGGTGGCGGCTGACGAGAGGAGCGAGGCGGCGAGAAGATTTGTGATTTTTTTTCCTTTTTTCTGTTTTCTCCTTTTTCCCTTTTATTTCTTTGTGATTTTTTTATTTCTCTTTAGATTTTTTATTTTGCAGTAGATTGATAATGTTTGGGTTTGGTGAATTTGAAGGGGGTATACTCACCACCTCTAATGATGAGGTGATTGCAACCACTCATCCATCCTACTCCTCTTAACCAAAAAAAAGATCACCAAATCCATCTTCATTCCTACAACCAAACAAAAAACTGAATCGCCATATTCACTCTACCAAACAAAAAACTGGATCGCCATATTCACTCTACCAAACAAAAAACTGGATCGCCATATCGAGTAAAATATGAATCGCCATATCCTATCCAACCTTGACCGTGAACCAAACACACCCTAAAATAGTTAGATTGCCGGTGAAACTTACCCACTCAAATTAAAGTCACAAATTTGATATATATGCTTGTATTTATTGCTAACTATTTTTCAGTGGTACATGATGTACCCATCGATACTGAGGCACTTGTGGTGACTTCGTAAATTTCAAAATATACTGACCCAAATTTACTTATAGGGTGATGAGCCTTTATGTTTCAGGAAAAAAAAGTTTGCACTCACAAAAACAAAAACATAGTGCGTAGAAAAGGTGTTTGCGCATTTGGAAAAAAGAAGTTGTACGTATATGCCAATAGGTAGTCATTAACCCCTTTCTCAGGAGGAATATTTCCAGAACGAATTAGCCCAACACGCAGGCGAATGATCAGGAGAAGAGCAAATATGGCAGGAGAGGCATTGGGCCGAGAGTGATATGGCCTATGGATCAATTATCTTTTTTTTTAAAGAACATAAGCTATGGGACGGTGGAGCAAGTGAAGTCAGAGCTTCCAGCTAATTATGAAAAATACACATAATATTTCGGGTTGTTTTTAAAATATTGGCGGAAATATACATTCGTGCGGGTTTGGGCCGTGCCATCGGTGCAACTCAAAAGAAAGAAACCGACGGGAGGGGCGGTCCCGCGAATCAGTCGCGCGAAACCACTCGGTCCAGCGGATTGGTCATGCTGGACCAACATGATTCCGCGGATCGGTCATGCAGAACCGACTGCCTACATGTTGCATTGCCGCGATGGCATGCGGGTGCCGTGCGGGAGCGACGCGGTCACATGCGTTGGTTCTGTGCCACCACCCCTTAGGTCGGCCATGCGCCATCGGTACGGTGGCACGCCTCAACCTACGGGGAATATATATTTTCGCAAATATTTGTAAAGCATGTATATATTATATATAATGTAAAACTATGAAAAATAACGTGTTTGAACTTTATTATATTATATGGTCCATTGTGTTGTTTCGTATACGTGGCATTGCACCTCGCCTTGACGGTAGATTACTTAGCAATGATGAAATGCAGCAAGCTTTGGTGGTGGCAGCCATATACAGGGATGTGATACTGTTGAGTCAAGGCCGAGTTTTGTGAAGTTAGAGCTGTAGTGTCGTAACCATGGCAAGCTCGGCAACGACGGCCACACCTATCGTGATCCGTCAATGGTTGGGGTGAACTCGTGCAATGTTGTTGTGTTTTCTGCAGTAGTGCAAGAGGCTTTAATTGCCCAGTCGTATATCTCTTATATAATAAAAGTCCATTAAACATCTTATAAATACTCATAAACCGTCACGTGGCACTCTTACAAACGCTCCTAAATTACCACGTAATACAACCATTGATTTACCTTTAAACATGGTGGACCCATTAGATTTATTTTTGTTATTAAAAAATTGAAAGACCTACGTGGGCCACGTCCCTTATCGGTCCCTCCATCCATTCGGTTCCCTCTCTCTTCTATTGATATTGGCAATGTATATACAAAGATAGAACAATATTGACTTTTTAAGGCAATATTTTTTTAAAATTGTGCACGTGCAATACACGTCGTGACCTATATTAAAATTACATTCTTTCGAAAATCAAATTCACAGTGGCATATAATCAAAAGATAGGACGCACATGTAAATAATCAATATACTTTCACTTTTATATGTTTGAATAACATAACATAGCATAGCTTTTTTTTCTTTTTTGCTATTTAGTACCTACGAAATCCTCCCAAATCTTGCAATGAAATACTTTTCAGGAAAAATATAGGTTGCGCTTGAAGTATCTTTAATGGTAATGAAACAAGTCACAAATATACATAGCTTTTTAAAAAAATTATCAGTCAAGCATCATGTCCTACAAGTCAATAATATTATATATTTAAAAACGAAGGTAGTAATATTCATGCATCAAAGTGTGACTGCTATTTTGGTTTTTTGATCAGCCCCTTTGATTGAGCAATATACCCATCAGACAAACTTAAGAGAAATACAATTTCCTCATGTTCAGTATAAAATTTCTTACAATTTCTAACTGTTCCCTATGTGCCATGTGGGCAACAAAACTGAAGGGAATGCCTTGGTAAGGAATAATTTATTTGAAAATTGTAAACATAACCCTGTTTCTTACTCCATGCCAACTTTTGCACAGAACAAAATGTAAAGCCCTGCTAGGTTGCTATAGGGTACAACCACTTTAACATGGGTACTTGATGAATTACAACAGCTAGATGGTTATGAGGGTACAAAACACCAGATCAGAAAAAAACATTAGTTTAACCTAAGATAATTTATTATGCAAACCATCTTCCTCATGTGTTGCCTTTCTCCAACTGAATCACGTATTCTGCACTTTGTGAATATCCCTGCCATATCCCTTCCAGGGGAAACACTAAACTTATCAATGTAGAAAATTGGCAGTCCCCATTCCCCAATCCCTCTGCATAGCCTCTCCCTGGTCTTTTAGGCATTGTTACAAGCATGCATAGAGACATAGTACTACATCGGCAGTGTGCATATATAAAGACTGTATTCATACAAGATTAACCGGCACTACACTGGCCGCTGTTACCTTGATAATATCAATGCTGCTCTCGCAGATCGCCATGTCCTTCCTTAGAGCCTGATAATGTCACGACACTTAAATTAGCAAGATCATCAACTGAAGATCATCCATATGAAGACATTGGTAGTTGAGAATTGAGAATAGTTTGTATGGAGTATGAATGGACAAAAAAAAAGTATGATTAGATATACTGTAAAGGACAATGGTATGGTTCTGCAACTTGAAACAACGCATACAGTCAATGGGTATTTGAGTAATGACAAACCTGAAATTTATGTTTTGCATGTCATTTATCGCTTAACATAAAAGGCCAAACACATACCAAAGATCTTCTCTGCAATATATATATCTTTGACTTGTAAACAATACTAGTTTAGCTGCCAACTGGGCCTGGAAAAAAAGAATCAAATAGCATGCAAGAGTAGTAACAGTACCTAAGAAGCATTTTGTCAAACATTTGCTGCTCACTCAGGAGTGTGATGCAGCATCTGGCACCAAAGGTTATTACCTTGTGTCTGTTGCTTGTTACCAGGATTGGGAAGAAATAGTGGTTAAGCCGTTTCTACAAACACCCTTGCAAGCACAGTTAATCAGTTTGTCTTGCAATCAAGAGACATAACCTGTGATTCTGAACTTCTTTTTTCACCAACAAATTCTTTTCACTTCAGTTTTGGGCGAAACCAATCCTGGTAGACAAAACAACAAATTTGCTAATCGGGATTTCATGGAGCACCTAGCAAACCAAGAAGGTAATTGAGGAGTCAAAGGAAGATGGCAAAGTTTAACTCACCTACAACTGAGCAGCCCGTTCTTCTGGCCGGTGCATCGGATCTGCCCATCAATCTGGCTTGACTGGGGATTACATCGGCACAGTGGATGCTTGACTGGTCGATCTGGCTGCGGTGTCGGCGGAGGCACAGTGTTGTGGACCTGTGGATGCATGAGTCAGTAAAGCAAAAATGGTAGCAGGGCAAAAATTTGACAAATAAAAATAGGACTAATGGGGATGGGAAAGCAAGAAAGTTACTTTGTGCCGAATCAAGTGTGCCAGCGCAGATAAATTCTATCAAGACAAACTTGGAGCAAAATCGCGTATATACTTCCCACATACCAAAACACAACAACTCGAATGGGGAGTTCCGAAGAGAAGCTGATCCAATAAACTTGATCTATCATACACAACAAAAAAACTGCCTTTTCTGCACAAATTGCAGCGCATTGCGTGAATCCATCCAATAATACTGAATTTCTGTCATGTTGTAACAAAAAATCAGGGGCTACACCATTATATCCCCAAATCATCAACAGATCTACCCCTCAGTTTTCCTCACTGAACAGCCTTGAAATCTGCAACTCGCCAACCCAACCAACCATGATTCCAGTCCAAATTAGAAGCAACATTAGATTCGCACAGCACGGCCGCAATTGCATGAGAATGGGAATAAACAGGGAATCTAGAACGATTCAATACCTGAGTGAGATGCCTCCATCTTGAAGTAGTCCCCAAATCACTAGTTCCCAAGCATCTCGAAGAATGTTTGGCGGAACGTTGGACAAACTTGGTGCAGGCGGGGACAAACTCGGACCAGCGTGGCGTGCGCGAATAGGCAGAACGTGGGACCGCGGTGGTGGCTCGGCGCTACAGTGGCCCGTCGGCGCTAGTCCGGCGTCCCTGGTCGAGCGCCGCAGTGGCTCCAGCAGTAGGGGGAACCGTCGGGGGTAGTCCCGGGCGTTGAGGGACTCCGTCTTGCGAGCCGCCTCTCCTAACCTCTTCCCCATCTTGCCAAGAACATTCTTCACCGTATCCATTGTATCTGCAAAAATGGAAATCCGAAACAGCTATAAAAAAACCGCAAGTAATCCTGGCAACAACGGAGGGCAGATTTGGCTGCTGGAACGCACTCTTGGAGGCGGGTGCGACGCCGCCGGCGGGGGAGGAGACGTAGGGATTGCCCGAGAAGGGCGGCCGCGGCGTGGTAGGGTGCAGGGGTAGGCGGGGCAACGTCCTCCGGCGAGAGCCTCGGGTAGTGCGCGTAGTCCGACGCTGCTGCTACGGCGGCGGCGGCGGTCGTGGGGGCCGGCGCCGTGGCGTGGTCTCGTCCGGCGCATGGGGCGGAGCGGGAAGTGGTGTCATGGGGAGGGCGGCACAGCGGAGGTGGGGAAGGCAGTGTGTAGGGAGCTACGGGGGCGCGCGGAGCGCTCAGCGGTGTCAGCGGCGAGGAGGCGTAGAGCAAGGAGGAGAGGAGTGAGGAGGAGCACGGGGGCGGAGTAATCGTGCTGGGACGGCCGGAGGGAGTGAGTAGCGCGCGCGTGGGGATGGCGGGAGTCATCGCGCCCGGGTTGCCGAAATCATTGGCATCGGTGGAGTGGGATGAGATGGCATATGGACGGATAAGATTAAATGAAATGGTGGATGGACGGATGAGATGAAAGAGGATGATTTCACCATTAGGATTGCAAGCGGGCAACTAGTATAGATGTATTAGACACAAACATATTATTATATCATAACTATCTTATCTGAATCTTATAGCTATTTTTTATCCACGTACTATATTAGATTTTGTCATATAATTGAAGGCCCAAATCATAACTATATATATTTAACAAGTAAAAAAATTATTGCTTTGGACTAGCTATTAATTGGTCACTTGAGACATATTTTTAAGGGGATATCATATAGATTTTTAAACACCCGATTAACAACACGTAGCTTATATTAGAATAATATGAAACACAAAGAATTAATTAATAAGATTAAAATAATTAAGTGGTAAAAGAAATACATTACTTTGTTTGTTAATATTATATTTATGTATAAATAAAGATAATTTAGACCGATGAACCCGTGTTGATGCAAAAAAAAAAACACACTGGCCTGGCAGATCTGCTTAGCTCCAGTGCAGGTCCAAAGGTTAACGAGATGCGGGCGTGCCAGTCAGTTTGACCCTGCAACGGATAAGATATGCAAATAGTAGACCAATAAGCTGATCGGCTGACAAGCCGATGGAGCAATTCCAGCCGATGCCGATACTAGCTGATAGCGATAGGGTTTTCAGCAATCGACTATATGTCCAATGTAAATAATGATATAAAGGCGATCGACTGATGATGAAAAATAACAATATTATAGCAATATAATCCAGTAGAAACCAATCGGCTAACAATATGATATAATAGAACAAGTATTGATCCGAAGGTTAAAGCATACATCGGCTGGAGGTCCGATGTCATAAAATCCACAATATTAGATAAATCAATAAAGTATTTGTTGTCATCGGCTAAATCTAACTTATCGGCTAGCACCCCGATAAAACACTAGCATGAACCTATCGGCTTAACAAGATTTATATTATCAAGAACAATCTAGTAGGTCGAATCTAACCGATACAGCACGAGATTGTATATGATAATCTAATACCCGATGAGCCGATAGATCTGTCTAATGTGATGGATATAAAAAATCTATTTAGAACACCATTGTGATTGTAAAGATATATCGGCTAAGACAGAAGATCGGACCTAACTGAGACAGTCCCAGCTAAACCGATGCGTCTCTAAACACAATGCAATTAGAGATAGAATTGAGATATCAGGTAGGCAAATATATCAACCAAACCAGAGCGATCCAAGAGATCGAAGCGATGCAGCCTTGAACAACACCAACATAGCCGGTAGATTCGCCAGCGCCAGCGGCGGAACGTAGAACTTACCCCTTCGCCGGAGATCGAACTGAACCGATGCAGCCCCGCGTCAGGTGCCAAATTCTGCCGGATGATAAGTAAAAACCTCACGAAAGAGGGTGGCGATGCGCCGAGAGTAGTTATATTGATCGAGAGAGATATCTTACAATGACCCCAGGGTACATATTTATACCCATGGGGAGATACTAGTCCTTGTAGGACAAGAAAGAAACTCTCCTAAAGATAAAAGGAAAACATAAAGTCCTTAGAGGACACTAAACACACTTTCCTAAAGATAAAAGGAACTAACAAACTTATCCTAATTAATAGATATACTTGCCATGCCGTATCCTCCTTAAACTCGGACTCTCTAGATAAATTTCCTTTAATTGATCCGACTCTACCAAGAACACAACTGCTGGCGATTTCACAACTCCCATCGGCCGATTCTAAGACTCTGAAGCCGATACTGACTCTAGGCCGATGATGACTTCGGGCATACCAAATTTTGGCATTAACAACCCATTAATTGGATCTATCTAAAAGAACAAAAACTCCCAAACTCTCCCTTTGCCATAAGTACATACACATATCTCCTCTCCTGTCCAATTTCCTCCTCTGTAATTTTTCTATTTTTAAATAACAACATAATATAAACCAACCAATAATTAGATAGCTAAATAATTATAATTTAAAAAGTTATATATGATTTTAATTTTTTAACTGTTGTTTTATTTATAATTAAACAAATAATTCAAGATCCATATTAACCATACTTGTCGTTATTAAAAAAATAAAATACATCACTTGAACATAGCCCCTATCCTTTACATGTCAATCAATAATAATAATTACAAAAAAAACATGATGTAAAGCACTCATAAGTCACCATGTCTAAAAAATTAGAAAAAAAACCTTAGAAATTTCAAAGAAAAAAAGTAAAAATATTTGACCAATTATTTTCAACCATTAGATTTACTTCTGGAACAAATTGTAATTAACTTTTTTATAATTTGGAACCCAAATATTTTCTTGCGCAAATATGCGTGACGGAATGCAATAGAAGTCGGTAGATATATAGTACGTAGACCAAACTCAGGGAGTTAAGAATAATGCATATACAGAGTGGGAGAAGGCACAATGTGCTTAGCTTTGCCTTAACTTTTTAGCCGTAGGGTGTATTAAATAGGAACAAACAATATATATACTAGAATGCAAAAAAATTAAAATAATTTATTTGGTCGTTGGAACATAAAGACTTTCTAGGGTCTCTTTTTAAAATTTTATGGTAGTTGGATCGGATATGCATTGTGGGCTTTACAAAAAGCATTATGTAATTTAATTCTAATTAATTCATACCAAGTAAAGGCTAGCTAAAACAAATACAGAGTGATTGGTTTCGATCTCACAATTCCTAACATTTAATAAGAAATTTTATAGAAAATATTTAAATCAGAGAAGCATTCACAATACATTACATTCCAGAAACAATGTTGCATGTATCAATCATTTGAGAAATAGAAAATGAAATGTTAAAGATCAAGAAGATGAGATTTTCCCCATGATCAAATAATCTTGACGTTGGTAACCCTCTAAGTGAAGAAAGAAAATGGTGTGAATGTATTCCTGCTGATATAACTTTTCTTTTTACATTTGAGTTTAGGATGCCGTACAACGTATCCTGTAAACTCATGCACTCGCTTAATCTAGAACCTCAAATCACAATCTGATGGGTGTGATCAAAGAAAGATATGTTTTCATAAAACCCCCCGCGCTTGCTAAGTTAGCACATGACCCCTCGTTTTGTTCTTTCTTCTCCCGTCCAGGATTCCAGGCTTCACCCCAGATCTAAAACATCCCAATCCTTCTTCTCCGTGTGGTGACGAAGTGACGACGGCGGCTCAAAAATCTTCTCAGAGTCCTCCCTCACCACGCGGCGTCAGCTGCGGCTCAAATACTCTAGGAAACTCATGCTCCACAGAGGCAAAAACAAAAGCTTTTGTGTTTAGTTGACATGCATCAGCCACATATAAAAGGAACAAAAATGACAATGATGTCGAATGCCAAGAGTCTACACTCGAGCAATCACATCTCAATGGGAGAAACAAGACAATCTAAGGTGTATACATCAAGATATACACAATTTATACACGAGCAATCTTAAATCAACGACTACAGCTTTGAAAATTTGCCTCTCTTTGTGCTTTGTAGCATCAGCTAGTTTGCATGGCTAGCGATTACGCCATCAGTGCTGCTGCCGTCGACGGACCTCAAAAAGGCAAAGAGCACAAGAAATTAGCGAGTACAATGAATGGAGTCGCTTATGCTGCAGCCGATGCAACGAAATCTACAGCCAGGAGATAGAAAGAGAGATTAATTAAATGGTAGGATTAGAGAGGAGTATTGAAAAAGGAAAACGGGAGGCTTAAACTTGATTTTCCACTCCGTCGACTGTGGTTTTGCCGGGCGGATTCGAGCCTCCATTGACGCCGAGCGGAGATGGAGGACCGGATGAGGTTTTCGATCTACACACAACCCCTCGTTTTATTCTTTCTTCTCCCTTCCAGACTTCACCCCACGAGCAGCATAGCACAAAGGGTTTTATGCAAAAATGTCTTTCTTCGATCACATC